TAAAATATAAAAAAAAAATAAATAATGTAAAATAAAATAAAAATAAATAAAATAAAATAAAATAAAATAAAATATCCAGTTAAGAAATAGGCAAAGGATATGAACACATATTTCACCAAAGAGAATATACAGAAAAGATACTCATTATTATAAACCATCAGGGTAACAAAAATTAAAACCACAATATGGCATCACTATCCACCTATTAGAATGAATAATTTTTTTAAATAATGACAACACCAATTATTAGTAAGAAATCAGAGAAATTGGATCACTCATACTTTGCTGAGGGGATTGCAAAATGATACAGCACTCTGAAAAACACTTGGTCAATTTCTTATAAAGTTAATTATCTTCTGACCTAGCAAGTGCATTTCTTAGGCCTTTGGAGAAATAAAAACTTAAATTCACACAAAAACTTGTATATAAATGTTCATAGCTTTATTCATAAAGCCAAAATTAAAAATATCCCTTGTGTCCTTCAAGAGATGAACAAGTAAACCAGCTGTAGTACATATATACCATGGAATACTACTCAGAAATAAAAAGGAATGATGGATAAACCTCCAGAGAAGCTGAGTGAAAAAAAAAAGAGGCAATTAAAAGGTCACATACTGAATGAGTCCCTTTATATAACATTTTCAAAATGACAAAATTTTATTTTTTTATTGTATCTTCTTTTTTTTAAATTTAAACTTTAGTTAGTTAACATACAGGGCAATATTGGTTTCAGGAGAATTCAGTGATTCACCACTTATATACAACACCCAGTGCTCATCACAAGTGTCCTCCTTAATACCCATCACTCACCTAGCCCATCCCACACGCACCTCCCTCCATCAACCCTCAGTTTGTTCTCTATCATTAAGAGCAAAATGACAAAATTTTAGAAAAGCAGGACAGGATGGTATATGTGGTTATAAAAGTATCACCCAAAGGATCCTTGTGGTGATGGAACTGTTCACAATCTTCACTGTAGTGACAGATACTAGCCTTAAACGTATGATTAAATTGTACAGAACTACACACACACACAGACACAGAGGAGTGCCTGGGGAAATATGAATATCCTGGTGGTGATATTATATTATAATTATACTCTGTTGCAAAATATTAACATTGAGGAAAACTGGATAAAGTGTACACAGGAGCTCTCTGTATTTCTTATATCTGCATTTGAATCTAAATTTAATTTAGTAAAAATTTTAATTAAATAATAGGCCTAATTCCAAATGGTACAATATAACACTAATATTTTAAAAATTATTTTATTTTAAAAATTATAATACTTAAAATTGATAGCAACTGTGTCTGCAAAATATTAACACTAACAGCCCTAAAAATACTTTTATTTTTTATTTATTTTTTAAATGTTTATTTATTTTTTAGAGAGAGAGAGAAAAAGAATGCGAGCAGGGGAGGGGCAGAGAGAGAAAGAGAGGGAGACACAGAATCTGAAGCAGGCTCCAGGCTCTGAGCCGTCAGCACAGAGCTCAAGGCAGGGCTCAAACTCACAAACTGGGAGATCATGACCTGAGCCAAAGTTGGATGCTTAACTGACAGCCACTCAGGAGCCCCCAAAATACTTTTAAATACGAGAATCGATTTTAAGTACTTATCCATCAGTAACTAAAGTCAATGGCAGTGACTTGAAACTTCTCGTAAGATTCTTCTTATAATAGGATTTACCTTTATTTATAAACAACTACCAGCTTTTCATCTTTAAACAGAATAAAATTTAAAATAGCTCCTCATAAGTCTAATTATTTAATATATTTCTAAGAGATTCTCTCTTGTTCACTGAATTTTCTCTTGTCTCTAAATATATAGGGGAGGTTATTATTTACTTATACATTTTGTATTTATATAGTTTAGGTTCAGTTCCCAAAGGATATTAATAGTGTAGACAGATGTCTTGAACTCTATAATCAGGTATATGTTGACATAACTCTAAAGGTGGGAAAGATAATCAGGCAAATTTGGAGGAAAAAAACAAACAGACTTTATTGTTTCTTTGAGAAAATATTGTCCAAAGCATATGTTCATTCAATCTAAAATATCAAGTCCTTATTTGAATATGGCTCTAACAAATTTCAGAATTCCTTGAAATTACATGATGAAATTGGAGTGGGTAGAAAGAACATTTTGGAGAATATATAAATTAGTATATAAAACTAATTATTTGTTCATTTGTTGAAAATGTTAACTTACTGCAGAATGGTTTTGTGCCAGTAGTATCCAAAAACACAGTGGTCCTGAGAAATCTTTTTTCTTTTCTTTCTTTTAAAACATCTTTCCATAGCTCAGCTTGATAACCTGAGATTTGAGAAAGAAAACATTAGAAACTCGACTTCAAGCAAATAGCACCCAAAGCTTTCAAATCACTAAAGGAACTAAAGGATCAATGTATTATAATAATTATTATAATTATAGTTCAGGATCTTTATCACTTAAAAATGACTTTTCAAATAATTTTACATTATATTTATTTTAATTACATGATAATTCAAATTAAAGATTCACAAGCAAATCTACTCCCTGGAAATCTTATCAGAGGTTAGAATACTCTATATGGCTACAATCCATTTGTAGCAGTCTTTACTAATATATCATAAATTAAGAATTTTATTTGTATCTTTTAGTAAATATAGCAGAATAAAATTATTAGATAAAATAAACACAGAATTTAGTTCCATGAGTACACCCCCCAATTCTCCTACAAATACACATTCAAAGAGATACAGTATATATGTCTGTACATTATATATAATACATGAAGTGTAGATAGCATCTATATACACTATATATTATGTATATAATATGTATATTTCCAATATATACATTATTACTAAATTTGAAATATTATCACACACATATATATATTGAAAATGCTTCCCACTTTATGTATTTGTCTCTTTCCACTTTCTACCTCTGAATTTGAAATGTGAACAAGGTAGAAAGAACACTGAATTGAGAATTAAGGATTTTAACTCTAGCTCTCACTTGTGTCCTTACACAATACTTATGCTCACACTGGGTCACAATTTTCTCATTTATATGGAAGAGCAATGAAACCAGAAAAGCAATCCCCAACATGAGGTCTGAAGAAAAGGAATCCCACAGGATGTTTTCTGGACAGAAGAGGTCTACAAGAAAATAAGTCTGACAAAGCCTGCATATTGCCTGTCTCTCCTAGCAATTCTCTATGCATGTTAGTATAAACCTCCTGCTGAAGAAAACTGCAGGAAGCTTTTTAATTCAGCCTTTGTAATTGCTTCCCATTTAATAGAGCCCCTTTGGCTCTGGAAACATTTCTGGCAGATCCTGATCATGACACTGATCAGATGTTTACATGCTCATAACATGCCTGGGGGTTGGTAATGTCTTTGGAAAATCCTGAACAAACAACCTCTGAGATTCTTTCCAGCTCTTACGTTCTATTTTTTATGTGGATTCATTTTTCTCTATAATTTCCCACCAGCAGGCTGTAGTTATCGAAAGTTGGAATACTTAACCGCTCTTGCCAAGTTTTATCAATTTGGAAGGTGTGAACCATGTATGATTCATGTCTACTTGCTAATAGCAAATGAAAAGCTAACAATGGTTTATACCTCTCCACTTGCTCCTAAAGCTTTCCATAAAAATAAAACCCCTCAATGCCACTAAGAATGAACAACTCTCAAAAGAAAGAAAGAAAGAAAGAAAGAAAGAAAGAAAGAAAGAAAGAAAGAAAGCAGTCTCTTTCTTTAATGGAAATATACATGGATGATAAATAGTGAGAGTCCTCTGCAAAGCAAGAACAAAGATCCTCATGAGACCCACCATATCTGTATACTACACTGAGCATAGAAAGGCAGTTGATTAAACTTCTCTCACTAAATACCTTATAAAATACTTAGTAGGAAATAAACTCTTGTGTCTGGTTGTTCCACAGGCAATTTTTCCATAAAATGCTAACATGTTCATAAGTAAATAAAAAGCTTCCAGCAAAAAATACTAACAATTATGTTATTCATTTTCCACAAAATCTTATAGTCATCATACCAATCTCACTTACCTAGCCTAGGACATGATTTTTCCTTGAAGTCGTCACAGTCCACACATGAACCAGCATGGAAATCTTTGTATGAAGGACAAGGAAATGAAATAAAATTGCAGGTTGTTTCCAAAGATGCCATGAACAAGTAAACGGCTCTCTGGTGACTGCATTTAATAAATGCAACGCCTTAAGTGTTAAAAAACAAAAAACAAAAAACAACAAAAGAACTGCAGATGTATTAAACCAAGTTCAAGCAAATTAGAGAAAAAAATTAAAGGTTAAGTTCTACTCAATACCATGCACTTGTGAATATTGAAATGTTGCCTGACCACAATGTGCCGTTTTATCTCAAGCAGCTAGAGGTAGTACCATTGAAAATGTAAATTCAGTATGCTTTTACAGGAGATTTAAAAGACATTTGTCTAAAGTAATAATTACCACAGGGGAAAAATGTGTTTAATTTCAATAATCTGACACACTACAAACACAGTGCCACAACACTTAATGGCTATGTACACATGGTTCTCTTCTAACCCCTCACCCCTAATATTTCTATTTAATGTCAGAGAGGATTATGAAACCAGGTAACATTAGAACTTCATTATGTCCCTTTCTTTCCTCAACTTCTCACATCCTTATAACCTTTGATCAAACTTCTCTAGCTACAGTGGGCTTGGGCCATATGTTACTTGACAGGTGTCACTATAGATGCTTCCTATGGCTCTGAACTGAGCCAAACTCCACACCTGGAGCAGCTGTTTGGCTATTTATGTAACAACCAAGGGCAAGAGATTATGAATCTGTGTTTGTACAATACTATAGTGATGGTAAAGATTAAGTCTTGGAACCAAACTCATGTTATGTGATACTTTGACCAGATTGCTTCTTCAATAACTCAGAACTTCTCCTAATGTTTAAAATAATGAAATACAACTGTTGAAACTAATGTAATAGGTTTCATCATGACCAAATAGTATATATACTGGTCAACTTTATGAACCAATAAAAACCCAATTAAACCATTTTTCACCAATGACTCTCATTAATCATGAGCAACAGTGATCAAAATCTTGCCCATAGATTAAGAGGGAAAAAAAGTAAACTGATTTTCTTTCATCATTTTGAATCATCTGTAATTCATTCAAAAATATTATTTGTATACCTGAAAAAATGGATTTGGGACAGCCAGGTTGCTTTTTTCCTCCATTTGCATAAAAATCTATATGTCCCAAAGGTTCATTAATGCCTAAACCTGAGAAGAAAAGCACTCGAGAATCACAAAGTGAACATAATCAGGTCAGCAACACTTGTACAAATAGCATCTCCTATAAATTCCATTGAAAGTGACTCCTACAGTTTGAATTGAAAATAAAATACATGCTATTTTTAAGAAGACGTGTTTTAATGCCTCAAATTAACTCCTCATGAAAATTATGTCATTAATTTAACATATTTATCAGTCACCGATTTACTATGCCCATCACAGTTCTTTGTGCTATGAATATGCAAGTAAAAAAGAAAAAGAGAGAAAAAATCCTTTTTTTTTTTTGGTGGAAATTAAATTTTAGTGAGAGAAAGACCTAATAAACAAGTAAGAATATAGTATGCCAGATAATAATAAGGGCTGTAGAGAAAACACAAGTAGAACAAGAGTACAGTTAGTGCCTAGTGAGGGTGGCAGGTTGCTCTTTCAAACAGTTTGGTTAGGGAAATTTCCATTGAGGAGGTAGAGTCACACAAAATGTGAAAGATGTAAGACAGTGAGCCAAGCAGGAAACCATGTGAGCGTGCCTAAAGTATTCAAAGAAGCCAGGCTAGCTGGAGTACAACGTGGATGAGGGAGCACTGGAAAGAATGAAGCCAAGTCATACAGGACCTTTTAAGCCAGTGTGATGATTTGCTTGTACCCTGGATAATAAGGCCTAAGACTTGGCACTAGATTCACTAACTGGAAAAATCTAAATATGCTGCTTCAGCTGGAACAAACTGGGCCAGAGTGACATAAACCTGTAGCTATGATTTAAGGGCTTTTGTATATCTGTAGATCCTCAAGACACTGGAGAATTACAAATTCTGAGTCCATGATTACCAATACGGGATCTATAACTTGGGGAAGTCATAGGAATGAAAGAGGGTAACAAGTTCAGAATACTCAGGACTATGATTAGAAATGAAAATCTTGCTGCCAAGTAAGCCTGCTGGGCTTTGGCTTAGGGACTACAAATTTCCTACAACATAATAAACTCTTAAAAGTGATCAGCAATAGATTTATATAACAAAGTAAATACTTGCGGCTGACAGTCAGGATTAAGATGCAGCAACATGATTTAGTTCTAGTATGTAACAGAAAAAGATAACCGTTAGTGAGGTATTTATTACCAGAGCATAAGAACACTGGGCATGTGCAATATCGGGGAGGGGATTCAATGTGTAAGGAAAGGCAAATAACAATTTTTTTTTCTTTTTTTTTTCCTTCTTTTTTTTTAATTTTTTTTTTTTTAAAGTTTATTTATTTTTGGGACAGAGAGAGACAGAGCATGAACGGGGGAGGGGCAGAGAGAGAGGGAGACACAGAATCGGAAACAGGCTCCAGGCTCTGAGCCATCAGCCCAGAGCCCGACGCGGGGCTCGAACTCACGGACCGCGAGATCGTGACCTGGCTGAAGTCGGACGCTTAACCGACTGCGCCACCCAGGCGCCCCTTCCTTCTTTTAATGTTTATTTATTTCTGAGAGAGACAGAGACAGAGACAGAGACAGACAGACGATGTGAGTGGGGGAGGGACAGAGAGAGACAGGGAGACACCAAATCTGAAGCAGGCTCCCTAAGCAGGCTCCAGGGTTTTAGCTGTCCACACAGAGCTCATGAACCACAAGATCATGCCCTGAGCTGAAGTCGGATGCTTAACCAACAGAGCCACCTAGGCACCCCAGCAAAGAAAAATTTGGGTGAATTCATTGGAACTCCTTAGAATTGGGAAGCATAAGTGTGATTTGACTGTAACAGTGGTGAGGGTTTGATAGCCTCTTTATATTCCATCAACTGCCTGCAATTTCCTAAATATGGCCCCAAAAAACAAAAAGGCCAATGATTTTGGAGACCTTTAATTTCCTTATGTCTGAACTCAACATGGAGTTCCAAGAATAGGGGTTCCATGTTGGAGCCATCATTTTCTCCAATCTTCTACTAAAGTAGAATCAAGCCAAGAAGACTCCTCAGGGATCAAAGAGAAGCAAAAGACATTTATATTAACTTAACAAACAGCCCTTGATGTCATTTTCCCTTTATCAGATGGAGGAAGATGAGCAGTTTGGTCATTTAGGTCATTCATTTCCTTCATTTGAGGAAGTATAGGAAAAGCATATATCGCTTTTTAAATTTTCTTTTTATTGTAGTTTATAATACATATATGAAGAAAACATAAAGCTGTGGATTAATTACTATCAGGGAAATAGCCAATTAGCTACCACACCAATGCCAACATATAGCACCTGGAAACCCCTACAGTGTTCTTATCTAATCACCAGCTACTCCTTTTCCTACAATAATAATAACTACCTTTTAATAAAATGATTTTTTTGCTAATCTTTAGCTTCTAAGGATGCCTCCCAAAACATTACAATTTATATTTTCCCATATAAAAATTGACTCATATTCATGTATCCTTTTGTGTATGCTTTTATTATAAACTTGCTTTTTTATAATAATCCAAATTGGGTATGATTCATTATCCATTTTTATATGTTGCTGAATTGGTTTACTAGTGTGATGATTTATGTAGAATTTTTGTATCCATGGTTATAATAGAAAATGTCCACAAATTTTCTTTTCTGTAATGTCTGTCTCAAGTTTTGACATTAAATTTATGAAGGCTTTTTAAAAAGGTTTTAAACAGTTTCCTACATTTTTTTTTTACTTTTTAATTTTTTTAAACATTTATTTATTTTTTGTGAGACAGAGAGAGAGAGACAGAGTGTGAATGGGGGAGAGGCAGAGAGAGAGGGAGACACAGAATCTGAAGCAGGCTCCAGGTTCTGAGCTGTCAGCACAGAACCTGATGTGGGGATCTAACTCATGAACTACGAGATCGTGACCTGAGCCGAAGTCAGATGCTTAACTGACTGAGCCACCCAGGCACCCTGGGAATTTTTAAATTACAGTTTCTATTTCATTAATAATTATAGAACCAAATTTTCTCTCTTAATTTGTTAGTTTGGTAAATGCTTTTTCTTCTTCATAAAATTTTTCTATTGTATATATCATACCATATAATCATATATTTTCATTTCTGCATAATATTGTTCATTATATCATAATACAGTCATTTTAATACCTGTAGCATCTGTAACACTATCTCCTGTTTATTACTGATATTGTGTCTTCTCTCTTTGTTCTATTTTTTTCTCTCAAAGAATATATTAACATGGAGACTGATATATAAAATTTAAGCATTCTATATTTCCTTCATTTCATGGAAAGAAGATAAAAATGAGATGTTTTACAAGCTTCATGTATGGGTTTCAAAAATATTTCTGATACCTCTGCATCAGAGAACCTACTATGAGAAAAGTGACTCCAAATCGCCAGTTCACTTCTAGAATTTTTCTAGATGTTGGACTGGTAAGTTTTCCCTGATATCCCAGCAGGAATATTAGCCCAAATTACCTAATTCACAATTTTGGAAGGCGACATAGATTTTTTAACATATACAACTGAATAAGGACAAAACCTATTGGTAAGTAAAAGATGCACTCTGAATAGTATTCAAGGAAGAATTGATCTGTCAGATATGTACTGACCCCAAATATCTCATTCAGAAATTCCTTGAGGCAGGTGGATATGCAGCATCAAAATTCTGTGTCCCTCATTTGTGATGGTCATGAAAAGATCAACCAAAGGTGCCAAAACAATGTGGCATTTAGTGGTAAGTTAGATCTGATAGGTTGGGTCATCAAAAGATGTTGAGAATGAAAGACAATATAAAACAGTTTATTAGGAAAATCCAAAAAAATAAAAAATAAAATAAAAAGTAGGAAGAGCTAATTCCAAGGCCATAGGCAGAGCTGAAGTTGGGATTTCAGAAAGAAGAGCTCAGACAAAGAACTGCAGAGCAATTGGGCAGTAGGTGTACTATGTGTGGGAATGCTAAGCTGATATAAGAGCTAGAGATAAGGAAGACTTGAGAGGTTGAGGTATCACACTAGAACTGTGAACCTTAGGCACTGACTCCCTGTGAGATATAGGTGAACTCAGATTCCACTTTAGAAGCAAAACTGTACCCATATAGGGTTAGCCCAGGCATTGATATTGAGAAATTGTCATCTATGGCATTTATAGAATTTGTATCTCTTGCAAAGGCACTGGTATGGATCACCATGAAGTCAATTCAGAGGACTATGGGAGCAAATAAATTACCTGGACCAAAGAGAAAAGTAACCTGAGGAAATAGGAGAATCAGAATAGTCTTTGCATCACTTCCTCCTTTCTCCATGGTAGCACCATAACCTCCCCATGCCCACAGTGACAACACATGTAAATTATCAGCTAATCAGAGCAAGAAACTGGTGAAGGCAGGCTCTGGAATCAAAAGATTTCAAATTTTTTGAAATTTTGAAATTTCAAATTTCAAAAAATTGAAATTTTGAAATTTGAAAGCGGCTCTGCTGCTTACTGGCCTTGTGACTTTGACTCTAGCTTCTCCATAAGTAAAAAAGAGATGACATTTACTTATCTCATGGGAACTTAGGAGAATGCCATAATTAATTCACATAAAACATTTAAAACACTGCCTGAAGTATATACGAAGTGCTCAATAAATATTAGTATCATCAATTCCAAATCAGAAAAGGGCTTAGGGCCATCTAACTTATTCCTTGAAAGTGCCTGTCCAAAGCATTCTGGACCAAACTATCAATAGCATATTTGACATTTTCAGGAAGATAATTAAAAACAATAGAGAAATTATTTCTCTACCTTTAGGGGAAGGTATTCTTTATCTGTGCCTGAAATGCTGTTTTCATTTCTAGTTGATAGATATCACAGCAAGAAAATGAGTGGAGAATGGTAACCTAAATACATCAGGAACATTAAGCATGGGAGAATTTGTGATCAAATCAAAATTGTCAATAGCATGAACAAGATGAAGTATTTTTTAATCAAATTTCTGCTTTTTAGGATGATAGGACAGGTCTTGAAACCTGAAGGAGGTAAATTGAAGGCAAAATGCCATGTTAACACCCATAGGATATCACTAACTCCAAGAAATACCACTTGTGGGAAACATAATCATTTTATAATTACAGACTCATCATCACTTTATCCACTAATCTTCCTCCTTTTATGTTCTCTGCATCCCAATGTCTACATCTCCTTTTCATTTTCAAGTAATTAAGCAATAAATCCTACATTGTTACCATTGATATCAGAATGGATGACATCCACAAACTTTGCATCAGTGTAATCTAATCTGAGATCACATGGCTGTCCAGAGAACTTTGGCCCAGCTGGGTCAAGACCTGAAATTCAAGAAAGAAACTATCAATCAATTAATCAACTTCTACTATAGTGTTTATTAGATCATATGTTTGCATTATTATATTATAAACATAAGTCTATACAGCTTTAAACTTGTCTAAAAACTAATCTAAATATAAATGAAATTGGATGAATAGCAAATATCTTCATTATCTGAATAATTTATACCAATCTTCCGAGTTTACCAACAATCTAGTGTTAAGCCACACTAGAAATGCCTCAACAAAATATTGTAGGGTTTTTTTTAGCATTTTTATTTAAGAAGTACTTAGAGATAAACTGGTAGTATTTTTATAGTTAATAAGTAACTACTACTTTTCCTGGAGGGGAAGGGGAATGAGTAATAGCCTGGTCCTATCTTGAACTTCATGCCTTACTAGTTCATCCCAGATCTATCTGCAGTTCTAAAATGAATTTTAAGTGCCAAATACAATTTGTGGTGGGGTATAAAACATAATTATTATTATGTTATCATTTATTTTCCACCAAAAGCTTCCCATATACACACAAGAAAAGAAAAATGTATTAAAATTTCCATGGAATATAGATATTATTTCTGGTGCATGTGAAATTCTACATAGAAATTCTAGGCTCATGACCTACTGGCAACTGTCAAAAAGGGGCAAAGAGGTAAAATTCAACACCTTGAGAACATCTGTGCAATGGGAGATACACTCATCTCAATTTTTTGGGGCGCCTGGGTGGCGCAGTCGGTTAAGCGTCCGACTTCAGCCAGGTCACCATCTCGCGGTCCGTGAGTTCGAGCCCCGCGTCAGGCTCTGGGCTGATGGCTTGGAGCCTGGAGCCTGTTTCTGATTCTGCGTCTCCCTCTCTCTCTGCCCCTCCCCCGTTCATGCTCTGTCTCTCTCTGTCCCAAAAATAAACGTTGAAAAAAAATTAAAAAAAAAAAAAGAGATTTTTTTAAACTAAAATATAATGTTGCTCATCCCAAGCCCTTCTATTTTCCCTAGTGTATTTAGCCCACTTGACTGAATGAGGCAGAAACTTCTCTTTTCATAAATAATTCTGATGTAGAACTACTACACTTGCTGGAATTTTAAACCCTGATGATTGCTTGACATGTGGAGCCATTCAAACTGGACTAATGTGTGAATAAACACACTTTAACATAAAGTAGGATTACTGTGATGGTTGAAAGAGAAATAGGCTTTGGTTGCTACAAAGCTTTGCATAAATCCTGGCTTAGCTGTTAAGAACGTTTGACCTTCCTACATTCATTCAGTTAACCTGTTTTCGTATCTGTATAACAGGGATATTACTAAAACTGATCAAAGTAAGAAAGGTATACTTAAAGTTTGTAAAGCTCTTACTTATGCAATTTATTCACCTCTCCCCTCCCCCTTTGCTTCAACTTAATACTCTACTACTTTTATTAACACTCAAAATCATTATAAATCTTCTACAGACACATATCTCAATAATTGTTTTAAAAAAACAACTATAGGGCACTTGAGTAACCTGACTATAGGGCACCTAGGTGTCTGACTCTTGATTTCAGCTCAGGTCATGGTTTGGTTTCCACACTGACAGTGTGGAACCTGCTTGGGATTCTCAGTCTCCCTTTCTCTCTGCCCTTCTTCTCGTGCTTTCTCTCTCTCTCTCTCTCTCTCTCTCTCTCTCTCTCTCTCAAATAATAAACTTTTTTTTTTTTTTTAAGCTAAATTGGTTGGGGAAGGATACTAACTTTCTGGTTCTAAAATCACCACCATTCCCAAAAGGAAGCATGAAAATCCACATCAGCATTATTTGGCTACTAAACTTTCTGCATGCAGGAACTCTGTGAAGGAAAATATGAGAGGAATCAGGATCTAGACTCCCTCAAGCCTGGTTGTCAACTCCTGATTCTCTCTTCTGATGTTCAAGTAAAATTTTTAAAAGAACTGAAATATGTTAAAGTTTATGAAAATTAAATACATGGGTATATATTTAGTTAATACATGAAAAAAGTTTTATAAAAAAAAAGTTACAGAGGGAAGGAGGCAAACCATAAGAGACTCTTAAATACTAAGAACAAACTGAGGGTTGATGGGGGGTGGAAGAGAGGGGAAAAGTGGGTGGTGGGCATTGAGGAGGGCACCTGTTGGGATGAGCACTGGGTGTTGTATGGAAACCCATTTGACAATAAATTATATTTAATATAAAAAAAGAAAAAAGTTTTATATTTAATGAGTCAAGCTTTTCTCTGGATTATTACAATAATAGGTTCTTAAAATTCACATGGAGCTGCAGAAATTGATCTTCCTCCCAGTTCTATATGAGCACTTCAACACTGCTTAGAACTAAACAAGAAAGAAGACTTTAGAATCTAACTAAAACAAAGGCGAGCATTGAATATAATACAGAAAAAAATAATGTGCATCGTTTTTACTGTTTAACTATTGTGCCTGTTAACTTGTAAATAAAGTAATTTCTCATGGTTAAAATTATGCTAAAACACTAATTTTATCAAAAATATTTTACCTGTAATTCTTCCAAGTTGACCTTGAAATATCTTTCCAACAAATCCACTAACATGAGCCCCTAAGCTCATACCTATGAAATGAAAATTATCAAGAGTCGCTCCATGGTTCTGTAATTGAAAATGAAGTGTTATGATTTTCATTTCAGAAATCACAAATTATGCCTTGTGCATCAATATTATAGTATTCACTATTTTTTTTTCTGGTTTAATACATTTCTGGGAGATAGAGAATGGGATTTTATAATTTCAAAACAACATATTGTTGTTCAACTTTTTCCATAAGATATCTGATTTTTCTCAATATATTTTTAGTAATAACATTAAGCTTTTAAAAACCTTTGTTATCTATTATCTAAAATAGTATATGCAAAATAATATATTAATTAATAAATAATTTTGTAATAATAGTAATAGACATTAACAGGTACTTAACTTGAATAAGTGTTTTATAACTATCATATTCCATTAACTTGAATAAGTGTTTTGTAAATCTCATATTCACATTAGTCCTACGAGTTATTTATTTTTATCCTATTGCCCAAAGTTATTAAGAGCACATATTAAGTGTTGAATGAATAGTTTGATAATGAGTTGCCCAAAGCCAAACATACTTATTACTGTAAGGGAAAAAGATGGACTTCAAGTCCAGGCCTATTTAACTCCAAAATATATACTAATCTGCCTCCTTGTTTTATCTGATCAGATTGTGTCAAAATCCCTAGGAAGACTGGAACAGTGTGAATTATAATTCTCATTTCGGAGATGATACAATGAGACTCATGGATTTTAAGTGATTTCCCAAATCCACAAGCTGGAGAGTGATGGAATCTGATCTTCCAAGCCCAAGTTTTGAGTACTTCTTAGAGTCTTAGCCCTGGAGGGCCACTAGGGAGCTAACAAGGAGGGAAAGTTTCTCCCACCACACTCTCAGAAAGCAGGTTGTGGTCCATTCAGCAGAGTGACACATTTGATGGCTTGGAGAAAGATGTGGAACATTTACTGCCAATGAGAAACTAGACCCAGGCTTTCCAGCCACAGGTTAATTTTCTTCAAATTTCTCAGAGCAATGCCCAGAAACCTGAAGGGGTATTGCTCTCAACTTTAGTGTTATTAATCTTTTCATTTTTTTCCTTAATATAAAGCCTTTTTCTAAATTTCTATATTTAATAATCATATTTCCAACACTTTGAAGTACATGTGTATTAGAGAAAAGACCACTTCTATAAGCAAAAATCAGTTATGTAGTTTACAGGTGATAAGAACAGGTGAATCAATCACCTCCTCTGTCTCTCTATAGAGAGATGGTTTGGTTTTGTCCGAACTTGGGGATGTATAAATTATACTGATCCTGATTTTTACTCAGATTATTTTATGCCAGGTCCTGGTTAAGAATTAATGTCATTTTATACTTATATAAAATATTGTCATAAAGTTTGATTATCTCAAATACATAGATAAAGAAATGAGGCAGAGAGATTAAACAATTGGTCAGAGTCACACAGAGGATAACAGGTTGATTTGATCTTTGAACTCCTCCAGTCTGACTCCTAACCATTATATGTAACTGCTTCTTGGATCAGTTATGCCTGCTTAGTTTTAAGAGAGTCTCCCAAGCACAACTGAGCAAGTTGAGTTGAGCACAACTCAAAACAGATTTCAAGCCCATGAATGCCCCAGAAATTACCTTTCTTTCTCTCAAGCGCTCATCACCACCACATCTCTCTCTAGAATAGACACTGATCGCCATATGGGTTGACATAGTAAATGTAGATGTAAATTCCTGATAAGCCCAAATTAGCCTCAATTTGTTAGACTCATCCCAACCCTGGACCTAAATGCTGGACAAATCTAAATGGCATTAAGACTGGTCTTGAAGATTGGCACAAGTATGCAACTTTTTAAGATGTTTTTCCCTCACTTTTACCAATTCACACTCAATTAACTATAAACATATTAGCCATACCTTAGAAAAGAACTTAATGATTATATAGTTTATCTCCTTGGTGCACAGAGAATCACTACCTTAACCTCAAGTCAGTATAGGTAAAGTTACAAAAGGATAAAAATCTTAAAAGATTGTTTTAAGTTTATTTATTTATTTTGAGAGAGAGAACACGTGTAGGCATGCACGCATGTGAGCAGGGGACGGGCAGAGAGAGAGGGAAAGACAGAATCTTAAGCAGGCTCTGCACTGCCAGCACAGAGCCTAATGTGGGGCTCGAAGCCACAAACAGTGAAATAATGACCTGAGCTGAAACTAAGAGTCACTTAACTGACTGAGCCACCAGGTGCCCCCAAAAACCTTAAAAGATTTTTAAGACAAAATGTAATAACTAAGTCTTTAAGACATTTCTTCTAAAAATAAGACAGTACACATCTACGTATGGCATTTATCCATTTCCACAAAGAAAAGATGGCTGTAAATGGTAGCATATAAAAGCAATAATTCTTAATGCTTATAGAAAAAAAAGTATTTATCTTACTACCACTCTGTGGTATTGCATAAAACACTGTATATTGTATAACATACATAATATATAAAATTCTTACCAAAAGAATCTGAATGTATGTACCCAAAGTAGCAGCAACTTTTCTGATGTTTTTAACTGCTCTGTTGTAAATAAAAGTTGTAGCACCCCGGTTCCAGTCTACTACAATTACATTCAGATCCTCGTGATTCAACAAAACCTTTAGAAAGTTCTGAAGCCATTTAGGAGTGGAGCCCATTGGTCTGTATCCATGAATAATCCAGACTGTTTTCTTGCTTGTATTGAAATTAACATTAAGTGAGTTATTCTGCTCAAACAGTGGCTCAGCACAGGAAGGATTGTTTCTTGTATACATCATCAAAACAATGTCCATTTGGGGAGAAAACAAATCTTTGAAGGAATGCAATATGTTTAGCTGAGAGAATTCAAGGCATGGTCTTTTATTCTCTGAAATTGAAAAAAAATTCAGTTAAGCTGAGTACTGGGATAGTATTTGATACAATTCTTATTACTGTTTAAAAGAACAGATTTGAACTTGAAGGGTGGGAAGGATTTTATTTCACTAGTATTTCAACATAATATCCTGAGCAACTACAATGATTAATTTGTTGATTATATAAAGACTTTTTGAACAAGAAGCATTCAAAATTTTAAAATAAAATATAGAAAGAAATATGGTTGGTTAGAAAAATTATTTTTTATCTGTACAAAACAGCAATGGTGTGACTAAAATCATTAATATTGTTAGTAACGAAAGTATTATTCACACCAGTAAAAGTACATAAATTGATTGTGAGCTTTAAAAGAAATTCTGCAGAAGAATACTTACATGTGAATAATAATCATTCAAAAATATATTTTATCTAATTAGCGATCAAATAAAAAATCAAAATAATATGGTATAAGTTTCTTCCTATCAAATTAAAGAAAATGAAGAAAATCATATTAATACTTAATACTTGTGAAGGTAAATTTGACACATAATTATATAAATGAATGCTAAGAGTATAAATTGGTGTAACATCCTTTCCTTTTGAAATTGAAATTATGTGGTACATATTCATAATCTTAAAAATATGTATTCTTCCTCACTTTCCTTCTAGGATTTATATTAATGAAATGAACAATTTGTATTAAATATAAGACATTAATAACAGGTTTATGCATAATTGTACAAAAATTTAAAACAACTTAAATATCATCATTTAGTATTTTCTACTTTTTTTAAGTTTATTCATGTTGAGGGGACAAGAGGACACGTGGAACAGAGACATAGAAAGAAAAAGAAACAAAGAGAATCTTAAGCAGGGCCCATACTGTCAGCACAGAGCCTGATGTTGGGCTTGAACACACAAACCATGAGATCATGATCTGAGTTAAAATCAAGAGTCAGACACTTAACCAACTTAGCCACCCAGGCACCCTGTCATCTTATAGTATTTTTATCAATGCATGCATCCTATATGTCTGCCTATCTATCTACCTTATGTACCTACCTACCTATCTATCCATCCATCTATCCTACAAGGAAGTAGGGAAGAAAATAAAATATCTAAGCCAAATCAATAGCAAGAATCATAGCTAGGCAGTGAAACAATGGCTGCTTTTTTAATTTTCTTTTCCATAGGTTCTCAGAATTGTAATTTCTTTCAAAGTAAGCATGTAATCCCATTTTTTTTTTTTATTTCTAAAAAGAGAGAGAGCAT